CACTTCATACCAAACGGCGGCCCGCCGAACGCTGAATCTGCTTCAAAGCTGTTCTAGGCCACATCATACTTTGACGAGTTTTGAGATGCACCAGTAGAGAAATGACGGAGCAGATTATCTTGTCAACAATGAGCGGGATCAATTCCACGTGACTCGAGCTGTTGCCACCCAGAACCATCACTTCATCTTCTTCCCATCTCGTGCTTGTCATATCCCATCATCCCCTCACGATCGTTCGCTGTAGAGAAGCAAATCGCATGTCAAAGGTCACAGCATCGACTCAACCGTTCGCTCATGGCGCTCACCGCCAAGCGTAGTCCGCGACGTCGCACCTCGTGTACAATTACTCGGCATGTCGTACGAACACCGCTGTCAACAATGCGCTCGACAGGGCGACCTCGTCAGACTCGACAGAGATCCCTCTGGCAATTGGGCATGTCCGAGATGTGGTATGATCGATCAGCGCGTCACGGATCAGGTCAACTTTGTCGAGTATTCTGCCAACATCGGTAGCATAGTGGATACGGAACAGAGGGAGTTTGATAGGCAGGGATACGACCGGGTTCGCGAGAAGTTCAACGTGAGCGGGATGGTCCGGCTTGAGTACTCATGATGAGCTGCTAACGGAAACTTCGATAGGAAGGTGTCCTCACCCTGATCAATCTATACCTCGGTATACCTAGTCCTGCCACCAGCATCATCGAAACCCCGAGCGCGAATATTCGCAACGGCGCGAGGCAGTGGCTTGAAAGGATATTGGAGTCCGAACGAAGGATGCTTGAACGCCTGCATAAGACGAGCAACCCGACGACCAGGAAGATGAGGTATTATGCAGCCGTCGCCATCAAATTCGCTGCTCAGGAGAGCTGTCTCATAGCCCTTGACCACAAATTAGAGGCGGCCGGGATCAGGAGGTCAAAGCGGAATTTACCGATGTTCACCAAGGGTGACGATACTGCGCAGAATCCCCCGCTATGGGACATGTTTGTGAGTAGACCTCTGATGGAAAGGCATTCCCTGACACGTCTTGAAGGGCCGCGCGAACTCTTTCACCGAAGACAGTTTTGGCCACATGGACAGCTTGGAATTCCTTCGCATGACATATCGCAAACTGAGTCGAATGGTCAGCTTCGTTGTTCCCCCGGCCGATGCTCTTTTGCTGCACGTAATACAGGTCATCCACCGGATTCAGTACATCATCAGCCGTCCTCCCCATCTGCGCCAGTCAGTCCTCATCACTCGATCCAGAATTGGCAAAGGCGACCGCATATGGGATCCAGAGGACTTCTCCTACTTCGAAGATCTCGATTGGCGCCAGGTACTTCCCAACGCATACAGGCTGTATCAGATGCAGGAGACGGTACGGTTGTGGGGCAATCTCACGTCTCCCGTGATCGGCGTCGCGCTCGCACTCTGGGCAATGCAGGCCAGTTGCGGCGCTGTTCTCCCGCAGTATTCTAGCTGGCAGCGGGAACTATCGGCGATCTACAATCGACAGCAATGGGTGGCAGCCGAGAAATTTAGAGAACTACGGAATATGCTCATCGCTTGGTCGACTTCCATCGGAGATGCGGGGCTTCCATTCCCCGCTCTCCCGCTTCCACCCAAGGGCACTTTTGGCGATGGCGTTTCGGGTTACAGCAGCGATCGCCGGAGACCCATCCCTGAGATTGATATAGCCGCGGCGGTCGCGCCGATCATCGTTGCCAATTGGCCTGCGATCATGAAAGCGAGACTCAAGTATCGCTTTCACGTGATGAGCGAGGAAGATGAGCTGTGGCTTGCTCGCAAGATGTGCGTGGTTAGTGGAGGTCTGTATCACGTCCAGATGGTTAAGGCTAGGGCGTCGGGACGGGCCGAAGACCAACCTAGGACTGGCACAGGAAGAAGGCCCACTACGAGGCTGTTCAAGGCTCTCGCGGAGGAAGCGAGAGTGGCCATCTCGAATTTCGAGCCGCTTAGAAGGGCTCGGACCAGGCCATTGCGTGATCTCTATGACGGATCGCGGGAAACCTCACCTGCTCCCTCGGCGGCCTCGATGACCAGCTCCCCAGGTCGACAGGCGGTCCTCGCTTCTCAGCCGCCAGTGATTCCGTTCGTCCCACCTCCACCTGAAAAAACAATCGAGGAGCTGATAGCTCTGCCGGATCCTTCTTCCGACGAAGGCGGTGACGAGGATAGCGAGGATGAAGATGCTCGACCTGCGACCAGCCTGGCTGATATCCACCGCCAAAGTCGCCGATCAGGGGAAGTCCACGCGCCATTCGCTTTCACCATCGGTCCGCAAGGATTCAACACTGAAAAGGGAACTGGGACCGGCCAAGCTACACCAGTCATTACCCCTCACCTGCACAGTTCGGCTTCAGAGCATTCGCAGTCGTCCGTCTTGGTGCCGCGCGGTCAGTCATACAGTTCTCAGTCAAGTGCGGGTTCCGCTTCCGAGGCTGAAACGGTCGTCTACGGAGGGCCGAGATCGGTACCGATGTCTGCGTCCACTACGCGGACAATGTCCTCGATCGGGTCGTTCGTCCGGGAGGATATACAAGAAGAAGCATCCCATGTTGGTCAGCTCGTTCGCGAACGCGCATCATACGCGATTGTTCGCCCAGCTTTGTACTACTTGACCGGTGAAGTCGTTCTTCCTCCCGTTGAGGCGGCAATGTGGAGCTGGGTCCACACGCAGATTCGCAACGGATCCATGCCTCGAGAGATCACCCCGGCATACCTTCTCTCCATCGGTATCAATGGCAACCCGCGGCGGCTGGATCTGGGCAAATGGGTGCGAATGAACGCTTTAGAGTGGTCACCCGTAGAATGCCTATTGCGGGCGGGCATAAAGCCACGCGAGATCCCCGTGCAGCATATCCCTCATTCGGTTGCACATTTGCGGCTCATGCTGTATCACTATCGCGATTCAACTTTGCTTGCGCCCATCGGCCAGAAGATAGATGATGCGCAGCTAGACAAGGAGATGGAATGGCTGTTCAGCGCCGAAGGAGGGGATGACCTGAAAGAGGTATTCGTGAGCGACTACGACGCCGGCCGGAGGAAAGAACGGTACATCAGGTCGGGTGTATGGGCAGATGAGGTAGACGAGGTGAAGCCGCCAATCGAGGGAGGCCGAACAGGCATCACACCGTCGGAGGAAGCGAAATTCGCGTTTGAGGAAGAGGACGAAGACTGGGACGAAGGCGAGTTGGAAGCTTACACGGACGATCGCGCCTCCTCTCTGCCCAGGTCCCAGTACGAGGCTAAGCCACGTGCGGCTCAAGGCATCCGTCGAGAGCTAGGCAGGATCCGGCACTCGGTCCAAATGGCCGCTGCCAGGCGCAGAGACGGTCTCGCCGGACTCATGTACGTCTTGAAAGCCGGCGATACCGATGCAGAGCAGGAAGGTGCGGATCTCGTGGAGAATGCGGATTGGACGGACGAGGTTATGGGTCTGCTTGATTTTGGGGATATGGGATTGGACCAGGAAGTGGGTGGGCCGGAGGGCGAGGCGGACGATCGGGAGGAGGGTGATGAGGAGAAAGCTGCAATCGTGGGAGGCGGCAGGAAGAGAAAGCAGCCCGGGTCCTCCGGTCGATCGGCCAAGAGATCTCGAGCCAGTGCAGTGGTGCCGGTGGCAGATCAGGGACCCAATGAGTTCATCGAAGATATCACAGAGGTGATACCGAAAGTGCGGAAAAGGGCGAAGCCCGTCAGAGGCGCCCCTTTCACCGGCGGAACGAGCACCGATGCGATCACAGCACACGTTGTCATGGGTCCGCCCACGCTTGGGACTGGACCGTCGGCGAGCGAAACATAGAGTGAGCATGGCGATCACGGTTGTAGCATTGGTGATTGTTGTATGATGTTGTACAGTGAATGCAATCTGCATGGTTTGCTAGTTGATGGGGCTACGTCAAGTATCTCTCATGATCACCTGCACCCACTCTCAGCCACAGTATTGCAATATGGGTCTATTTCGTGATCACATGGACGGTGCCCTCCAGTTGTTGCTGCCAACCAAACAGCTGCCCGGGATTGTCAGCTTCGCAGTGGACTGATGTTGTCGCGCAAGACAAACAGTTGTTTGGGAAGGACATGCGGCCGGGTCGCGGGCAGGACACTCCGAAAGGGGGCGACTCGAGTTTGCCTCTAGAGATATCCGTCCAAATCAACGGATACAACCAGGGACAGCAATGCTCAAAGAGGATCTGAATCTGGCGACCAAACCTCGTGCTGGCGAACTGCAGAGATTGGCGGAGCCTAGCTCCGAACGGACCACACGTTTTTAAGAGAGGCATCCAGCGAACATCGGTTCTGTAGCTACGCGCCGCGCACCGCACTGACGCACTGGAGGTCAACCTATCTTGTCTTTTGGTGGTACCGAGACCAGCCGTTATTGGACAGAGGCGACTCAAAGTCGTTCACAAGGGGTATCACACATATCATCTCGTACAATTGAGCTCGGATTTGAGCCATTCGCCTGATGAAGGGGTCCGCGAATACCGATACATATACGAGGAGACAAAGCAAAGGGACGAGAAAGTTTGACGCAACTTCTGAATGTGCGAAAGCGGCACGCAGGTGACTCTCTCGCCCGTTTATACACAGACCGGTCATATCCCCTAAGTTACGACTGAATAAAGCGCTGCCACCACAAGCTTTCCACAATCCTTGATACAACTTCATGTATCTACACTGTCCACTGAATTGATTTGGACGGGTATGTGAGAAAGGGTCACTGTAAAGGCTGGTCTGAGTATTCACAGCGAGCAGAGTCACTGCAGCCACACGCAGCTCGGACGCATCCCTCATCTGACCTGACCCTCGTACTTACCATGTCTTCAACGGAGCGTATCCTACCGCTCATTGCTGTGCTCCATAGTCACAATCATGATGCACAGATCACCTCGCCGTGAGCGGTTTGTGAAGTCCTGCAGGATCCCACTATCAGTGTAGACAGCAGCAGGGACACCCAAAAAATCCAGCCATCGACAGAAACCAAAAAATATTGGCAGAGACGGGATTCGAACCCGCGCGCTTACACACACCGGCGAACAGTCTTAAACAAGCCTGAACGATGCACCTTAACCACTCGGTCACTCTACCTTGATGTTGAGCCTATTTCACGTCAACCTATATACCACATAATCTATACAGTTTCATTTACATTGTTACATCGTCAGACTCCATTGTCAGACACATCGATGCCAAGGGAGTGTGAGCGATATTACCGATGGCTGGGACCGCCGCCTCCTTCTCACCCAGTCATATGCTCGCCCTAAGTGCGAAGGGCGGGCATGCTCAGCTGCGCTCCCTACCATCTGTGCCAAGGGATCTGCCGGCGTCAAATCCACCCTCTCTGTGGAACCGCTACGTGTTCCTCCCTGGTTGTAAGCGCACTGATGCCATCGATACGGTAGCTATCAGGTCATATCCCAGCCTGCATCCATTCGTCCTATACCAACAACCGGAACTTATCAGAATGTAGAGCCTAACTCTCCGACCATGGCACATTGAGGATTGCATCAGATTAGCGGACGCTCACGACCTGACAGGACGAGGCTGATGCCTGGCAAGAGGGTCACTCGGCTTTCGAGAAAAGCTCCGCCTCGTGCGCGTGATGCTCTTCGCCCACTAGTCTCTATTTCCTGGTTCAGTCTTGACACCGCCTCACCAACAACACAAGCCTGGAACAAGCCTATGGTGATCGCTACGGTCCCGGTTGTTTACACTGTGCCTGACTCATATAATCATATTGAGATCAAGGTCCAGACTCGGGCCGATTGATGCTGGAATCACGTGATGACGAATACAGCAGAGTCCAGTGGGTCAAGCGCCAAGGGTCAGACGATGCAGACGAGTCGAGTGCAAGTGATGAGGAGCTGGCGAAGGCTGATAGTAGGTCAACTGATGCTCGGAACGCTGTCTGCACGCGGCCAACGTAGACTGCGCGCTTCAAAGCGAACAAAGCAACCCACGTCGGTTGATCAGCACAACCACCTCCGGCCCCACTCGCATATTCGGATCGACTCCTGACGTATTCGGCTCCAGCGGTGATCGTCACTGCGGTAGCGGAAGCGACATCAGGCCTCACAGCGTGACGGTCAGCAGCGAACATCTCTACATCATCCGAGCTCGATCAGACACCACGCATGCATTGCGAAGACCTGATAGCGCCGAAAGTTAAAGCTTGAAAATCTGCGAGAAACACGTCCCGAAACAAGACGTCGTCACGAGGATCACCTGTCGATTAGGCACTGCAGCAGTGCTCCGCTCGAAAAGCATCTTGACGTCGCGTATCACCGCTCGCTCAACGCGCAGATCTAGGCGCCTTAGACGATAGCAGCAAAGGAGGGCCAGCAGAGGCACGGGCTCAGGCGAAGCTCACCGCTGCCTGCGTGGAGAGGGAAGACATTCGAGATTGGCACGACCCGTCAACGGAGTATTTACCGCTCGTGACCCGTCGCCATGGCTACGGTCGTCAGAGCCTCACCGGCACATACCCCACCCGCCTCATCACCTCCTACCCCGCCTACCAATTACCCAAGCTTCCCCAGGCTGTCCTCGCCGTCCATCCAGCGCAATGCTTCCACTTCATCATCGCGTTCCACCACGACCGTATCGTCAACTTCGTCCATCCAGGCCGCGCCTATGCGACCCCCTCCCATTGAAACGTCAACAGCGGCTACGAGCAATTCGCAAATACCGAGCCGGGCGGAGAGCGAGAACGAGAGCGAGCGAGGTGCGCCAAGGCTGGAATCTGTTAGAGGGGGTTTACGAGGGGGACGGAATTGGGGGAGGAATGGACCAAGAACTGGCAGGATCGCAACGCCCACATCGGCATATACACCCTCTCATTCTCCACCACCCATCTTGCACACCCCTCAAAGTCGTCGACCGTCAGCCTCAGATGCAGGCTCGATCCATAATCTCTCTCCTACTACACCACGCGGACCCCAGCTTCCCCCTCGCGATCCTCTCCCTTCCCCTGGGCCGCTACGGGTAACGGTCTCCATGGCTCAGAACGATATGGCCCATCATGAGAGTCGCTCACTATCCGCGCCCGGCGATCGATTCTTCCCCGTTCGAGGTAGAGGAGGACACCTTACTGCGCCCTCATCACCCACTGATACGGCTCGACCAGGTTCAGTCGGCATGAAACAGCGAACTCTGAGCGTTGATGGTGCACCGTCGTCAGCTATGGATAGGCGGACTGGATCGGCAGGCAGTGATAGGGAAAGACGGCAGAGCCAGGCGTCTAGCCACTCGCAAACGGCTTCTGCCCCGATCAAAAAACCAAGTATAAGAGACTTCATACTGGGCGAAGAGCTTGGCCAGGGGAGCTACAGCACAGTGAGTCGCGCGCAATGCGTCCACAGCCAAGACATGGACTCACACACGACAACAGGTTTACGCCGCGACAGCTATATCTTCTTCGTCTTCGCGTTCGCCCAAGTTACCACGAAAGTATGCCATCAAGATCATCAACCAGCATCACCTTGTTCAGGAGAAGAAAGTCAAATACGCCATGATCGAGCGAGATGCCTTAGTCCGGCTGTCCGTACCGCGACAGTCCGCATCGCCGACCACCGCTCGTGGTCATAGACGAGGCCTGTCGAGCTCCTCATCTGGAGGATATACGAATAATGGCGGAATCACTGCTGCCGCCAATCGCAGGTCAGTCGCCAGTGTCGGTAGCTCGACTGGGACTGGCTCGACTCGGAAGGAGTCAAGCTCAACCGCCGTGCCTGGTGGTAGAGACCGATTGTCTATCGTGACTACCAGTAGCAACGGCGAGATGTCGCCTGTACTGTCCGGTCGGGATACCGGGACGCCTCTCTCGCCCATCATGAAGACATTTGGAAACAGGCGGTTGTCACGGTCCACTGAACATCCCGAGTCGGTTCCTGAGCAGAGCGAAGTATTATCGCTTGGGGAGAGCACCGCGCCTTCTCGCTCGAGGCCGCCTTCTCCAGTAGCAGAAGAGGACGCATCGCAAGACGATCGCTCGGTCCGGGCACAACGTAGCGCGTCCAGATCTGACGATCGCCCCGTATCGGGATATGCTACACCTGAAGTCTCAGGTAGCCCGCGATTGGGCGCTTCGGAACTTCCGCGAGCGGCCAACCAAGTGCGTACACCTCGGAAGCGGCGTCAGTCCCAGGCCCCATCCGAGAAATCCACGAGGTCCAGCTCGAGTAAAGCGCCAGCCCACCCTGGTGTCATCAGGCTACACTCGACGTTCAATGACAGTACCTCGCTGTACTTCGTGCTTGATCTGGCGAGCAACGGGGAGATGACCAGTTTCATCCGACAGCACGGCTCCCTGGATCTCGTGTCGGCGAGATACTACGCTGCCCAGTTGATCGACACAATCGAATTCATGCACGACAAAGGGGTCGTCCACCGGGATCTGAAACCGGAAAACATCCTGCTCGACGAGGAAATGCGTGTCAAGATTACGGATTTTGGCAGCGCCAAGCTGCTGTACAAGGAGGAGCAGGCGGTCGACGACGGCAAGAAGCGATCGTTTGTCGGCTCGGCTGACTTTGTCAGTCCTGAGGTGTTACGAAATGAACCCGCTTCGGTATCTTCCGACATCTGGGCCTTCGGCTGTATTCTCTACCAATTCTTCGTGGGCAAGCCGCCATTCAGAGCCGCGACAGACTACCTCACGTTCCAAAGAATCCTCAAGCGGGACATGGAATACCCAGACGGCATGGATGATGACGCCAAGGCGTTGATCGAACTGGTCTTGAACCTTGATCCACTGCTGCGGCCTTCAGTACAGGATATCAAGTCACATCCGTTCTTTGCACTCACGGATTTCCTTACCATCTGGACTGTCCCGGCTCCTCTGATCAGGACCGGTCTCACCGAGCCTGTTGCTACGCTAGCCACGGTAGACCCCGGGTCCGACATGTGGGCTGTGTTCGACGACGAGGTCTCGGACGGGGGATTCGAGTATGACCAGGACCATGAACCGGATGGACCCGCAAACCAGTCAGAGCAGACGCAAGCCGAGGACAACGAGCAGACGCCCCGTGGCCAGGAGCCCCTGTTTGATCGACGAGCTGCAGCTCACGCCGTCAGGCATGTGGACTTTCCGGACTCGGCGCATGACGACTTTTCGGAAGAGCTCGGCCCGCCTCGACCTGCGTACGCGGTCGAGTCGCAGCAGGAGCGCGATCGCGACTCACGCAAGAGCCGTGGATGGTCTCATGGGTCTTCGAGCTCGGGCGGCAACCGCTCGGCTTTGACTGGATGGCTGGAGTCGATGCGCCTTGGTGGGACCGGGCCAGGCCATGCCTCTGGCAGTGTGAGCGGGTTTAGATCGAATAGGACCAGTCGTACGAGTGTGCGCAGCGACGAGTACAAGGTTATGATGGGCAGTACCGGCTCCATGCCGCCTAGCCAAAGCGGATCTCCTGCGCCGCGCGTCAGCACCGACGACACCCTCAAGGCGAGAGCCGCTCGCGAGGGAGGTCAAAGTGCCGGAACTGATTCAGAGAAATGGGCAAGCCTCCTACTCGAAAACGAGCGGATCATATTCACCTCTGCGATCTTGACCCGTACCTCATCGCCTTCGCGCCACCTCCCTGCATTCCTCCTGCCCGCGCCGAAACCCCGGCAGTTGATATTGACCGATTTCCCTCGACTCATCACGGTGAAAGATGACCCGTACGGCCAGTACCACCCGCAAGCTCCAACGGCGGGTCAAGCCATAGGCCAGGACGGGTCGACGTTGAAGATCAAGGGAGAGTGTATTTTCGTCTCGCAACCCTTGGCTGATACCGGGGGATCGGAGGCGGGCAGGGCTGGGCCAGCCAATAGCGTCATCAACGTGCAGGAGCGGGGATCGAGAGGGTTTACCGTGCACACTGTGGGTCTGACTCTATCGCTAATCTTGTGCGTGCGTGGATCATATGCTGACATGTACATCAGGCCGGGATGGTGTATTGGCACTATGCGGAGAGCGTCGACTTGCGAGATAGGTGGTTGAGCGCTATACGGCGTGTGGGAGCGGACCTCTAAGCGGCGTAATGAGTGATAACGGACAATGATGGTGTACGATGATCGACTTGACGCGAGCGATGATCCAAATA